GAGACCTGCTCGTTTGCCAGAGTCCCCGCCCCCCGCCGCTACACCTACTGCAACAGCACTTTCCAAATCTGGTTCCTCTCTCCTAGACTCACCAGGAACCGCTGAACTGGTGTCAGAAAGTTCATGCTGCAAACAATGGTGTGAACTACAACCTACTTTTCCCATTGTTTCAGCTGTTGCAGAAGACGTGGGAGCTCTGCTGGTTTCCGTAGCGCGTTCTCCTTCCATCGTGTCGGCTGCGGCCCCGTTCCTGCCTGCCTTTTGCTGGGGTTTGTCTTTCCAGCCAGATCTCCTCCCGAGCTGCTAAGCGTTTGTTCTTTTCCATCACGTTCAGAATGGACTGCTTCCTGCGGCTGTCACGAAAATAAACAAATTGGTTTACAGCTGAAAAGGAACCGGGCACGGGCCAAGACCCTCGTTTCTCCAACGTCTGCTTCCAGAAAGCCAAGTCAGTACAGTGCTGAGGTTTTCCTGGCCACGTACGGCGGGCGGGAATGAGTGGCAGGGAGGTGGTTTGCCGCCCGAGGGGTTTCCTCTGCAGTAGGAAACGCCGCTGGGCACCTGCCAAGTGGCCCCAGCTCCGTGGCAATGAACAGCGGGGAGCAAGTCACCGCACCCAGGCTGTGTTCTACAACTCCGGGGCCACAAAATCAGCCAAGGGATCTAAACTCTCATCGCAAGAAGTGCGTTTTAACCTTGGGATTAGGGGAATTACCGTCCTGGCGTACCTGGAAGGGGTAACTGGTAAGTGAGCCGTCTTTCTCAATCGGCCCGAGCGAGTTACTCCAGGAATCGCTGCGGTTTGCCGAGAAGAGAGCGTGAACTGTGAGACCTGCTGCTGTCTGAACAGCAGTTACCCAATTTCACCATTAGCTATTGACTGCTTTAGCAAAAAACAGCTGGTAACTCGTATGTCCATATCAGTGGACAGTCAGGATCAGGTGGGCATCAGTCCAGGAGCAGCTGGATTCATGGATTCAAAGGCTGAGTCGCTTGCTCATGCACCCAGCCCTCGCCGACCCCAAATGCACCGCTCACTCCAGCAAGAAACAAAAAAACCCACTCGTAAGTCCCTCTCAGCACTGGCTGATTCTCTCACATGAATGTGGAAGTGATTTAAGATATCCTGGTTTCCCTTTCCCAGGTACCAAAACATCCACGTTTGCTCTCCAACAACCTGAACTTACATTTTTTATGTACGATCCACACCAGCTGCAAAAGCTGAGCCTGTCAGGTAACGCTGGAGCCACGACCTTTAGGGTAAACTCCTCGGTCCTCCAGCATAGTTCCAGAGGTCGAATGCTTCGTCTGAACTTCCTTTTCAAGAACCGTCTACACATTAACTATAGCTGTGATCTCCTGTTTATGGCCACAGAAGTAACCTGTGATCTCCTGTTTATGGCCACAGAAGCAAACTGATTGTCCCTGCAGATTATTTTGCCACGTTTCCTTTAAGAAAAGTTGTAAATGAATTTCTGATACAGTGCCTACCAAGAAATCCCATTCGATTCAGGGGGTTTTACCTCACATTTTCCTCTTTACTAAACTAAATTGGTTTTGTTTTCTTTATCTGTCCTTCTTCATCTCCTATTTTGCAAAGGGAGGTCATTTTAATCCTGTGGTAGAACCTCAGAAACAGACTACCTTGCGTCCTTTCTATAGACAGGGTGACTGAGGAAGAAGGTCAGCCTGACTGAGACCTTAAACATTACCAGCAGTGAATCTGAGACCAGCATGTAAGATGAACAGTCCCATGTTTAATTATCTACACAATAGGAAACCACCAAGTATTCAAACACTTGGACCGAATAAAGATAATGAGACCCGATTCTTCACAGACAAAATCCTCAAGGTTTTCTGTGTCTGCGTGAGAAGGTGGAGAGAATGAAGCAGTGACTGAGCACCCTCTGTCCAGCTGAAGGAGCCCTTTCCTTTCCCCACTCCCAACATCCAGGTTCTTTGCCTCCCCACCCCCTCCTGACCCCAAGTCCCTCCAGGTAAGTTCACTTCTGGTTACCAGACACCCAGAAAGGCGTTCAGGCAAAAGACTGCATGCTTTAACCGTGGGCTCCTCCAGTACATGAGCCCAAACTCTTGGGTATTTGAAGGACAGGGATTATTCACTTCTTTATTTCCATTTTAAGAACATTCTGGTTTTTATTCTGATGACATCTGCTGTGATTTGTTTGCAGCACGTTGTCATCAACTCTGACCTGAGAGCCCTTGGGGTCCCTCTGAACGAGGGACACTAGGTAGTTGCTTACTCATTTTTCACTTCTAATACCAGTGAGAGATTTAGTGT